ATGCGTTTATGATGTTGCATTAGTGCATCACAGATAGTGTGCCTAGAACGAACGGTACTTTAACCGCTTTTTAGCGTAGAATAATAAAACCACTATGCGCGACTGCGAAAAGAAAATACTAAACTGCCCCGGTGACGGGAATAATAATATGAAATCGATCGGTCGATAAGTGAAATATTATGCACACGACGTATCGTCTTTTAATAATAAATTACAATAATATATACCGACATACCTGCTGCAGTATAAACAACGTGCCCGTCATGGCWTTATATCTCCTGTACTCAAGTGGTAACATCGCTTATTGTATGATTGTTACCCTAGGTATTATACATAATATATAGGTATTAAACCTATATATTATTATTGAGTCATAACACTATGTATATTAAATTTGTATATTATTATATCAGTGGAGAAACCGAGGAGGTGAATGTATAGGTACCTATGCAAGACCAATGTGACTATGGATATTTTGTATTTAATTAATGATGGACAGGGAAAATTATATATTTTTTTTTCCTAAAATATTTTAAAACTAATAAAATCAGAGAATTAAAATGGTTAACAGAGCAGTGGTGTTGAAACCCTTTATTTTACTATACGTATAATATAGAGATATAGGCAATAGACGTATATAAGAATGAATACAATTTAAAATATATATATACATATATAATAATTTTATGTATCCCCTCCTATTTAAAATATCTGTGTACACCACTGTGACAGAGTATAATTATGTTCCTCAAAGAAGCCAGATGTGATTTATTCTATTATTTCCGACACAGCCATAATTTCAAAGTCAACCCACTCAGMTATCAGGCTAGATTCGAACTTGACCGCAATCAATTTAGTGTTTAAATCAAATACACCGCGAGGACCATATTATATTATATAAAATATATAGATACATGGAAGCCACTTTCAAATACTCGTTAGTATATGACAACATGAAAATCATAACATTTTTTAAGTTTTAAAGTGTCATGATACAACACGCTAACGTCTGTCATTATATTATTATGACATCGCTTATGTACAATAAGTACAAATTCGTAGAAACATGCTACAAGTCAATGTTAATTAATTATAGTGAGAGATCGTGTGACATTTTGTCCAACGGTGTTAGTGTGATTAATATAATCTCTAGTCAATTTTATTTCTGTTCATGTAATATCTTAAWTTTTTTTATCATCAACTTTTCCCAACACTCACGATTAAAAAATGGTACCTAAATTATCTTCTGATCTGCCACGGTTTATATTTCCCATCAGGAATCTCTTTAAATCAAGAATCATACACAAAATTAAAATCTCTCAATCCAAAACATTTACAATTACATTTAAAATAACCTAGCTGAGTGTTATATATATAAAAKCAAAGAACTTTACAAGTATTAAATAACTGCAAGTGTTTGCCGCAGTGGCGTGTGATACATGTGTGCGATGTGTGCAAATGCCACGGGCCCTCGGCTTGAGGGGGCCAATTATTGTTCAACGTTCCACAACACTATTTTATTTGTATGACGTAATTTCATCTAATTTCTTGTGTAATTRRAATTTTAATAAAAATGGAAAGTAGGTACCTTGTGGATTTCCATAAGATTTTATAATTTTAGAATAAAAATTCATACTTTAAATTTGAATTTATATATCTATAACTATATTACTTAATAAAAAAACGAAGGGGGGCCGTTTTTTAGTYTTGCACACAGGCCCATCTTCGGGATAAACCGCCACTGGTTTGCCGTCAGTCATAAGATTTAAACAAGCATGGTAAGTTTAGATTATAATATTTAGACATTTATTTTTTGAATATTCGCTGCATAGGTGAAACAGCCAACTGGGGATGGGCCGATATTAGTTTTTACCGATATCCGATACTCCAATGCATATATGCTGCCGATAAAAAACCGATAACCGATAATATATGGAAGGTGCATCCAAAAACCGTACACTTTTAATTTTGACCCGAATAAAAAACCGAATACTTTTTCAGTCATTATATAACAAAATATCCCAAACTTAAAGTGGTTAAAACCCCACACTATTTTTAGTGCTAAATAACGGATTAGATAAAATAAGATTATAAGATATACTGCAATAATCATGTGCAAACACGTTTTAAGACTTTAGTCACCACTCGATATTATTTTATTAGTCGGTCTTGTCTCTTGTGTAGGTATACAGTATACAATATACATATACAGTGGTTACTTAGAGGTATTTAGTGGTTTTTTGCAGTTTTATCAAATTATTAAAATATTTTTAATTAGACATAATAATGATGCCGATTGAGATCGTTTAAAGTTTTTTAAAAATGTCGGTAATAGATTCAGCCAATCAAACTTTAAAAATTTTACACGCTTTACATTTTTTTTCTTTTTGAATAAATTATAAATTATTGTGTACATCTAATCTAGGTTTTGGGGTCGAAATTAAGAATGTGCGGTTTTTGGATATAACAACTTTAAAACTTGTGTGATATTAACCTATTAAATGTGTGCAGTTTTAGGAGTTAACGATATGGAAATATTAAAACAACATTTTTAACAAAAAAACATGAGCCGATGCCACCATAAAAACGGACACCATCAAGGCATCAAYCGATATATTATAATAAAACCAACATCCGATAACATAAATATTACCTAGAAAAGTGAAAATATTATTGATTACTTATGGTAATAAATGATTATTTTATAGTTATCGCATTAATAACATCCAAAGGCACACATTTACACGTAGGTACTATAGCCTATATATGGGACGATCAGGGGCACTTATTAATAAAGTTTGTGGCGTGTGTATTGTGCGCACATCGTAGTCTGTTATTGTTCACTGTGTTATATATAAATCATGCATTAAACATTTAAGACTGTTTATTCCGTCYGAAAACCACCCAAAGTAATTAAATTATATTCGTATCAAAAGCTACAAAATTGTGTTACGCAGGCTGTATAATCGGCAAAACGCATAAAATAAAATGTGTATAAATATACAATATTATACGCACTATCCGCAGCGCTGCCCTAGATGAACAACTTTAACGCGGAACGAATATAAAATTATAAAAAATATTTATCACGCGTGTATTGTAATATATTATATTATACATTTATACCTATTACTATAATTTAGGTTAGTTTGGTCATTATAATATTTTTTTCGCACAGTATTCTATAATAATATGGTGTACAATATTAATATATTATATATTTTATTAGGTTTACTGCAGGGTTTTCGGTAAAAAAATCGTTATAGACATCACGTCATTATTATTAAATCGCGTGCGGTCATACGATTATACGAGTATATACAACAGTCGCGGTTGTACATGATATATAAACTAATTATTAATATATATTTTAAAAAAAATTAAATATATATTTTATATTTATAAATTAAATATATTTTACATATATAATATAACTATGTGTATGTAGGTTATGGGGTATACAAATGCTAACGCTATAGCCACAACTTACAAACGATGTTGGCGATGACGAATAAATTCGTCGATTTTCATGGCCAAGACTTAGTGGCGTGGGCATCGACAAGCTCGCACGTGCTGCGGTCCTCATCTATATTATATTATGATTATAAAMCGCACGCTGAGAACTATAATAATAAATTATACGACATAATATTATCGGCGTGTAGATATTATTATATTATACGTATCGTATTCAAAAATCGCAAACGATGGTTAATCATCTAGKAATAATATGATATATAATATTATGTAGGAATATGGGTGACCTTGATTTCTGTTTTTATTTTTTTTATGCGTCTGCCTATTCTGTATATAGGTACTACAATAATACAGTCGTACTCGTCTAATTTTGAGTGTATTAGAATAGATCAAATCGTCATTATATTGTACTGGGTGTAATATAATATTGTAGGTATATTTATATCCGTCGAAATATAATTTGACATCGTKAGTACAACAGCAGTTGTTGCTGCTGTGTGTAATGTATAGTGGGCGATCGGGTTTGTTTTATTTTGGTGCCTATATAATATTGTTTGATATACACGCCGGAAGTTTCGCTCATTTTTTCGTTAACTATTATCGTTTTAAAAAAAATATTTTTTTCACATAATTTATTTTAAGTGGATACAAAACAACATTTTTTTATAAAAGAAATGTATATTTTATAGTTATCATTTTTTAATGGGGTTTTGAATTTATGAATAATAACATAATATTCGTTATTAATTTCAAAAACAAAATATTTTTCTAAGTATTTTGATGAATAAAAATCGAATTTAAAACGAGTAGTAATAACTTATTAGTATCTAAAGGTTAGATGAGTAGATAATAGTGGACCAACACTTTTCGGTGTTACCCATCTAGGGTGTTGATTCACTCCAAATTTCTCACAAATCTTTAAATACTTCTAACTACCAAGTTATTAAACCAAAAAATATTCCGCTTAGTAATGTGAAATTAAAAATGTACGCAGGTAATGTCATAAAAAAAGTAGAACAGTTTGTATTAAAGATCTTAAAGATTAAAAATGACGGAATATATAATTTTTTATCCTAAAAAATATGAAGGCAATATATTTGACCTCGTTACCTCAAATGATGTAAAATATTGCTTATAGTTTTTAAATAAAAGTTTTCCTTTGAAAGCCATCCAGTAATCGATATTTCATCCAAACATATTTCAATTATAATTGTATCTATTAAACATAGTAATATATACAGTTTTAAACACTGCAAATATACGTGAAATATGTATTTCAGTGATATAATTTATAATATGAGATCAACAGACTGCACCTTAAAATTTTATATTCTCGTCACGATTACGATAATTTTTTTTTATCAGTTTTCAATAAAAAAAAATGATATGCCTACGTTGTGATGAATATTCATAACTATTATTATACATAAAATATARTTTATAAATGTATAAATATATTTTATATATTTTGCATCGATTAATAATAACTAATTTTTTTAACGTAAATGTTCTTATAATTTCAGATACTCGGCATAATATGTTTGGCACTTGCCTCGCCGGCCAGGTTACCGGGCACCAATTGGTTCCTATTCGTGGTCATCATCAGTTTCATAGCGACGGCCATCTGGTCTTTCGTCTATCTACTCTCCATCCGGGAGGCTATCAATTTCCCAATCAATTGGGTTCTCACGGTATTATTATTAWTATATCATTAACACGTACGATAATATATTACTTCATGGCCTGCAAAAAACTCGCAAATATTCAATTTATACAGGCAATGTATTTGAAAGTTCTATTAAGTTCCTTAGATACCCATTCAATTTGGATTGGGTAAATTATAAACTCGATTTGGTATAGGTATTATTAACAGCTAAATGTAGGGGACTATACAGGAGTACAGGACCAATTGTAAATTTAGCCCAAGTATTTTTTACCGATACCAGCGATTATGCCTAATAACATTGATTTTATAATATAATATAAAATCAATTCTAATAATAATATATAATACTTTGATCAATAGGCACATGATTTTAACAAAAAATGTATCCTGCTAGCTCCTAGGTTCTTATAATCTTAATATGTCAGATAATTCGGAAAAAAGATCGGTACCCAGTTTACACAAAATATTTTTACTACCAGATAAAAAGTTACCATCGCGGTTTCGTTGTCAATAAATTATATATTTTAATTCGAAACATCAATTTTTTTCTAGGAATTCTTCAACACGCTCTTATTGACCGTCCTATACACGGTCGCATTCATCGTACAAATTGCAGCCTGGTCCAGGCCGTATCACTCTTATTACAAGAACCCAAATATAGCTGCAGGGGTAAGTGTACTATATGATTATTGATTAGGTTGATTAATTTGACATAAGGCGAACACTTAGTAGTCGAAAAATATTAAAGTTTTGTAGAATTTTATTTCTTATGAAAATACTTCAATACATATAAATTAAATTTCGAAGGAGCAATTATAATTATGTTCAACATGTACCCAACTTTTGAAGTTTAAATAATCGGAGTAAGTAGTATAGCTGACSGAAATTTTGTGAATAGCAGCATAATATCCTTAGCTGTGAAGCTGAACTACATCGCATTTCAATATSTCAACAAGACTTTAGATACTCATTTATTTATATGTATTAAAATGCATTTATAAACTATATATTCAGTATATAATAAAAGTAATTTTGTAATTTTCGTACATAAACTTACTGAGCTTAGCTCGTATCTGGTAAAATTATTGAATTTAAACACAATTATAAGTGTTGATCACCTATAGTAATTTTAAATATAATTTTTGTGTATACAAATTCGCAGAAAATATTATGCTTCGGAATACGAAATTAAAAATGCGTAAATGTCGTCGTTCGAAAAATTATAAAACTTAAATAAAAAATATGGTGATAACAACAGTAAAATTTAAAAATTCTTTACAAAAATGATGTTTTTTAACGACACTTACTCCAAGTGATGTAGGTATTATAAAAAATAGATTAATACTTTTCGGAAAAAGTTCGCCGTGAAAAGTATTCCGTAAACAATACGGATTTAATGTTCGTAGYAACTTGGTTATCTGTTTAGGTATATATACTTACTAAAAATATTGTTTTTTTTCTGTTCACTACACCACAATCATTTAGGTGTTCGGAATTATCAACGCGGCTGTGTACGGAACTGGAGTGTATCTGATATTCAGCGATTGGAAAAAGTCGAAAACTGCATCAACTGTTCAACAGCAATAATATTCGCCAGACAGAAAAACAAGCCTACAACTTATATTAATAAATTTGTCCACACATACGATATAATATTACTTGTTAGTTATTATTAATACATTATTTATTTTAATATGGAACCAAAATGTTCTATTAGGTAGGTAATAAATGGTGAAATATATCATTGTAGACCGAATCGTAAATATAAGTATCATATTACATTATTCAACATACAAATAGGACATAGGTAAATATTTTAACAATAAGTGCTACTAGCCAATACGATATTTAAGAAATGTTCTCGTGAAGTCTCAAAACATAACATGGGTTTCTCGGAGTATGAACAACACTAACCGTATCGTAAAAATGCATGCACAAGATTTTACCCATTATTACATTATGGTAAGCGTGAAAATACTGAAAATATAGTATTAAAGATTATCTCGCTTTTTTCAACTGGTCTTTTTGCACCTATTCGAATATTTATAGTTCGGTCTTCGCGGCTCGTTTGTGTACTTGCACTTTACACTTGAGCAATCATAAGCATATAGAGTATAGACATATTATAGTATTATGCTGGCTTATATACTTTCACAACAGATATTAATGAACTAAAATATTTATAGGTGTAATATAACATAATACCTTATTTTATGTGTATTTTAAATATCTCCTAACTGTAAACCCAACAGTGCCGGTTGGTACCTAACTGCATGTGTTTCAAACGCACTGTAGACATTTACATTTCATTCTAAACCAATACCTAATTATTATGTAAATTATATATATTATTATCAACGATGATTACATATAGGTTATGATATGTTTAACCGTTATACGCAAAGTCCGATTGAAAATTGTAAAAAAAGTATCGGAATTAAAAACGTCCGATCGTCGTTTAAATTATTAAGTTTTTTTTTTAGATAGTAAAGCACAATTTATAATATCAAATATGTAATGAATATTGATACAGTTGTTTCGTTAAGTTTATGATGTGAATATAACTATATAAGAATATATATTACATCGAAATTTAATAATTTACATTTGGTTTTCCTGTTAGTTATGTGTAAGATTGGAACAAATACATTTTAATAAACAGTGAACAGTTTATACAATTATTGAATAAAATATTGAACTATACTTAAATTATTTGTAAATATATATTTATTTAATATTTTTGTTAATCATATTGATATAATTATGTGCTTAAGTGCTTAGGTATTTTACTGGATACAAATATCTTATATAG